GGGGCTCAGCCCAGCTCCCTGCAGGAACCCTCTCCGGAGAGAAGGGTGACGGGGCTGGACAAACCCCCCGCGCTCACCTCCCCGAGCCGCTCACACATGAGGTCCTCCCAGCCGTCTTCTGGAGGGGATTCGGGGATGAAGAGCCAGTCGGCACCTGAGGCCAAGCCAGACACCAGCGCCAGGTACCTGGGGGGAACATGGCGGTGGCAGCACCGGCACCGTCCCCAAAACGCAACATCCCATCCCACCGATGGGCTTCCCCACCCACGGCGGCTTACCCACAGTGGCGGCCCATCACCTCCAGCACAAAGGTCCGCTGGTGGCTGCAAGGACACAGGTGGGGGGAGAAGGAAAGTGGGTGCAATGCCCCGGAGTGGGCTGGCACCCAGCACCCAGCCTGCTCACCTCTGTGCCGTGGTGGTGATGGCGTCAATCACCTCCATGATGCGGTGCAGCGCTGAGTCGGTGCCGATGGTCATGTCGGTGCCGCAGAAGTCGTTGTCGATGGAGCCCACCAGCCCCACAATGTTCAGGCGGCAGTTCTCCCGTGCCACCTCCTCGCTGATCTGCCCTGCGGGGCGGACAGCCGCACCACCAGTTATTTTAGGGTGCTCCGCTCTGCATCGGGCTGGATCCTGCGAGCAGCGGAGGAGCCCAGCCCTCCCCAGGGGTCACAACGATGGGGCAGACCTCTGGTCCTCAACACCCCTTGAACGCTCTCACTCTACCCACACAGGGATTTTGGGGACAGGGGGGTCACGCACCGTCCTGGACCAGCTCCTCCAGCAGCCCGCCCCACTCGGAACGGAAGATGTCAGCGCCTGTCAGGCTGCCATCCCCGCCGATGACACAGAGGTTGGTGATGCCGTGCTCCACCAGGTTTCGGGCAGCCCGCAGCCGGCCTGCCCGGGTGGTGAAGGCTTTGCAGCGGGCGCTGCCGATCACCGTCCCGCCCTGGAGAGATAGGAGGGGGGCACGGCTTGTCACGCACATTTGAGGGTGGTGAGGGTGGGTTTTGGGGGTGGCACAGCCCCACCGGTGAGCCTCACCAGCTGGATGATGTTGGAGACACTGAGCCAGTTGGCTTGCTTGATGTTGTCTCCCCCCTCCACTAGCCCCTCATAGCCCTGTGGAGAAGTAGGGGACGGAGGTGAGGGGTACCCCGGCACTAGGTGGGGGGCGGTCCCCCCCCACCCGTGGCAGGGAACA